CAGGGGGGTGACAGTTCGAACATTGCGTTGGGGCCCTTAGTGAGCCTTGGGTGGTTTGGGTTGTGGTACCGGTTAGGGTGCGTTGCATTTTGTGGCTTTTTGGCTCGCCAGAGCCTGCCGCCTGCCAGCGAAATGGCGCGAGAGTGTGGCGCCCAGGAAGAAGTCTGCACATCTTCTTGAGAAGGTTTCGACTCGCTATGCAAGGCACTTTAAGGCTTGTGGTTTTGGGGCTCTAACTGTAAAAGCCCAAAAGAGCGTGTTGGGACTTTGGTGGCGCGCAACCCCTGCCCTTCAAAGCGTGCAATCACACGTTAGAAGCTGGTTGCGACATCCTGCATAGGCTCTGAACCCATTGCTGTCTGCCACCCCTGAACCAATATAACACCCCGAACCCTTCGAAACCCTCAACACCTGAATAATTCTTTCACCCTAACCTTGAACCGCAAACCCTATATACGAGGATTCCCAGCAGTACCGTCTTTACCACGATTCCGGATGTGGTATTGGTTTTATTCTTGGAATCCGATGCTGCCCCGACCTTTTCCTACCCCCAACCAACATGCAGCCCAAGGTACAGACTGTCCGGCCCGCACATCTTGGATGTGTGCCACTTCCTGCTTTGATGGGGGGGGGGGGTTCGACTCGCATCGCTCTGTGTAAACACATTTCGATAGGTGTCCACTTATGACGTCCGAAGTGCTAAAGGTAGAACATCTCGAAAAAGCGCAGAATGGCTGCAAAACGGATGTGTGAAACCAACGTCCATTTCAGTCGGATATCAGAAATGGAGTGTGACTTGAATGTGGGTAATGCATGCATTTTTTGGGCGAGGTGTCAGCGAGCATGGGCCTTGACATATGATCAAAATGCACCGTGCAATGCCCGAAACGAATCATCTGGAGACGACCCTCCCTCAGGACTTTTCCTAGACGTTGTCTAAAACCCACAAACCCTTCCGTGATCACAGTCCCAAACCCATTTCGGGAGCTCTGCTTATCAGGTTCAGCAGGCCCCAGACACAAAGAAAGCAGCTCACAGTCACAGTTTCGTGTGGGGCAGACGAGAGCCAGAGCCATGTCGCAGCCATCCTGCGGAGGGGTGAATCCCAACATCCGTTTCACATCCATGCTGTGGGGAGGCATCATTCCCGACATCCATTTCTGCAGGAGGCTGTGAACGAACATCCATTTTCCACGTCCATTTTCCCTGAGGGCCGGAGGCCAACATCCATTTTCCACATCCATTTTCCTAGGCATCCATTCTCCACATCCATTTTCCCAGGCATCCATTGCCCACATCCATTTTCCGGGGTCCGCCCGGAAGCCCCAAAACATCAATTTTACGAGGGTTTTAGTGGCTTTGATCGTCAATGTTCGCTTCTGCTCGGCCAGGTACGGGGCCGACTGGACAGTCAGCCCAGTCCCAGGCCCAGGGGTTTTTGATTTTGGGTTTAGGGTTTCCCTCCTCAAGATGCACACAAGCCCCCCGAACCCCTCAAAAGCCCCTCAAAACCCAACAAATGTTAAGCTTTGGCACCGTCAGCCTAAGCCCTGCGGGGGGAGGCTGTAAGCAGGGCAGCGTTTCTTGGTGAACAATCTTGTGTAAAAGTCTTCTCGCACAACTTCTAGCCTTCAACCCCAAGCCCCAAACCCTAAACCCTATAGACTAACTATTCACGAATCTTCAAGTGCCCCTCACACACACCCACACACCCACACACCCGTGCACGCCACTCACCCGCACACCCACACACATCCACACACCCACATACGCCCACGCCCACGCGCCCACGCCCACTCGCCCACGCCCGCACGCCCACGCCCGCACGCCCACACGCCCACACGCCCACACGCCCACACGCCCACACGCCCACACGCCCACACGCCCACATGCCCACACGCCCACACGCCCACACGCCCACACGCCCACACGCCCACACGCCCACACGCCCACACGCCCACACGCCCACGCCCACACGCCCACATCCACGCCCATGCATGCGGATGCGCGCGCACACGCACATGTGCGGAATAGCCCCTACAAGAAAAGTTTCAAAAACTATGCAATGCTCCGGCTCCAGCTTTCAGTTTCGGTGTAGATTGACGGGACCTTCACACTACCTCCAGCAGCTAGAGTGAGATGCTCTTCTCTTCAGCGATGCATGGTCAGCAGGGTTCACCTGAGCATATCCTCACTGCGTCGAAAATGGGGTTGCTCCGTGCCTATAAGTCCTCAAGCATTCCGAAGGGGCGTCTCTTTTCAGCCCAAAACGCAGCTGAAAGGATTAAGAGAATGCATAAGGGTACCCATCGGGGCACCTACTATGAAAGGATCTTGATGTCAATCGCACCACCAAGCCGAACTCCGACTCCGACTTGCCCGACCGTTTCAGAAGTCGTGTGACCGACATCATCTGACCTTGGTTGGAAGCCCAAGCCCAGCCTAAGCAGCAGACGAGGAGCAACGCAGAGCTGCGGAAGCCGAAGTCGCTCGGAAGCAGGCGCCGTGCTTTCAGAGCTCAGACCAGTGACAGTCTAGCGGTTGATGAGCGAGGGCAACGGATGTAAGCTCCGGGGTCTGTCTCTACGAGCGCGGAGCGTGTTCGCCCTGTCGCTGAGCAGAGTGGACTCACAGGACTGTTCAAGCGTCTGCCCCGACCTTGCCAAGGGACACTTAACGTTGGGCAATTGCCCGTGCGTGTGTACAAGGAGTCTTCAGACCGAGCTCCTCTGGGTGCAGCTCCTGAAACTCGCCAAAGATGGCCTGCATCTACAACATTGTACAACACCAACAACCAACAACCCGCAAACCCTTCAATCGTCAGCCTCGAAGCCCTGAAACCCGTCAACCCCTATTGTAAACCGAAGCCCTAGACGGTGTGTGTGTGTGTGTGTCTTCACGCAGTTAAAGCCTGAGAGCGGAGCGTGGAGAGCTTCAGGTTGCTGTGCTTCCTGTTGTTTTTCTTCAGGGCATTTGGGGTTTTGGGCCTGTGGGTCGCACCCCCCCACCCCACCCCACCCCACCCCACCCCACCCCACCCCACCCCACCCCACCCCACCCCACCCACCCCACCCCACCCCACCCCACCCAACCCCACCCACCCACCCACCCACCCACCCAACCCCCACCCAACCCTACCTTCCACTCCCGTCCCCCCCCGCTCAATTCTAAACCTGTGCCTCCAAAGCCGCTGGTTGTTTCTAGCCGGTCAATACCCATCCGAATTCCGTTCTGCGTGTTGTGTTGTGGGCATTTGAAAGAGTAGCTTATTGCTTGTTGCCGGTCAACACCCATCCGAATTCTATGTTGCTTGTCGTGTTGTGGGCGTTTGCGAAATAGCTGTTTGTCTGTAGCCGGCCAATGCCCATCCGAATTCTATGTCGCTTGTTGTGTTGTGGGTATTGGCAAGCATAGCTGGTTGTTTGCGGCCGGTCAACACCCATCCGAATTCAATGTTGCCTGTTGTCTTATGTGTATTTGCAAGAAATAGCTGATTGTTTGTAGCCGGTCAACACCCATCAGAATTCCATGTTGCGTGTTGTGTTGTGTGGATTTGCAAGATACAGCTGTTTGTTTCCTTGCCGGTCAATACCCATCCGAATTCGCTTTTGCGTGTTGTGTTGCGGGAAGTTGCAAGATGTAGCTGTTTGCTTCTAGCCGCTCAATACCCGTGCGAATTCGCTTTTGCGTGTTGTGTTGTGGGTATTTGCAAGAAACCGCTGTTTGTTTGTAGCCGGTCGACACCGATCCGAATTTACGTGCATGTTGCGCTGTGGGTCTCTATGTGCAGCTGCCACTTGTGTAAGCGTCCGCTTGCTGCTTATGCATTGGTTGCATGTTTCTGGGTGTGTCTGCCGTGAGCCGTTGCTTTTTTCACAGTGACTTTCCGTGCGTGTTTGTTCGTGGTTGTTTTGCGTGATGGTACGTGTTTTGTGGGTTTGTTTTTGCGTTTTTCACGTGATGCTACGTTTTTTCTAGGTTTTTTTGTGCGTATTTTCGCGTGATGTTACGTTTTTTCTAAGTTTTTTGTGCGTTTGTTTGTGCCCTTTTTCGCAGTTTTTTTATGCGTTTGTTTGTGCGTTTTGCGTTGGCTGTTACCTTATTTTTGTGCGTTTATATTTTCGTTTTTTCTGCGTTTTATTCCTATCCCACAATCCCAGGAGGAGATAGGATGCGGACGACATAACCGTATCATCGTTACCAGACTCTCACGCAATTACCGGATCTATAATGACCGCTTCCGTCAGCATGCACGGCTTCGGCCGAAGTTCTAAACGTAAGCCAATTCATTTTTCTCCGACAACCGTTCTTGTGAGGCTGTACGGACATTGATGCCGACATGTGCTGCCTGAGAGACTTGACTGGCCGCATCGGAGCCTAGAAGCATCCTCTGTTTGCCATTGCGGTTCAATCTGTGCTCCGAGCTGCTGGTGTTCAGGAGAGCAGGCCGGTTTTTTGTTTTTATATGGTCTTTGTGAGTTGAGGAGTCTTTTGTTTGGCTGCTAATCCACAATCTTTTGTAGGTTTTGGACGCTTGAGGATATATCGAGTTTTCTTGCTCTTACGATTACGATGACTATTGTTTCATTGTTTCTATCATTACCAATTACTCTCATTACGAAACACTGATTACCATTACTATTGCTACTGTCACTCTTGGTGTTACTGTCTAGTACTATTACCATTGCTATTTGTGCGAACGGACTGCGATGCCTTGTCAAGTTCTAAGGTGTCACTATAAGAGCTGTGAGCAAGACCGTGTAAAGTGCAAGAGAAGGGGGCACGCTACGCGTCCCTCGACTCTAAGGGGGCACGCTACGCGTCCCTCGACTTTACCTTTCTATGTGACCGCCAACGCAACGTTTGGCTCAAGTCAATGCCCATAGCTAAGTGCTATATGTGTCTTCTATCCTGAGCAATCAGAGCTATCCCGTTGCACAGACGAACCGCCGCCGGCAGTGAGTGCAAAAGGAACGGCCGCCGGTTCTGCCTGCATAGGATTGCACGTGTGGAAGTGTGAGAGAGACAGGGTCCAGTCTGTGGAGAGTGCAAGCCAACCACACCTACATTCATTACAGCTCTGGTGGGGAGAGCAGCAACACAATCGAGATCAAATCCCCACGCAGGTTATCAGCCGTACGCGGCTCTGCCTTTCTACAGCAACGACTACTTGATCTACTACGACCACAATGAACTCGGGATCAAGCCAAGATACGACAATGACTTTCGGTGCCGATGTGGCAGCGCCAGCCGTTGGTGAGTCAACAGCTGATGACACAGTGGTGCAATCCGTTGATAGCTCCACGGAAGATGACAAAGGTCAATCTTCTGCGCTTGCCATTGCAAAGGCAGTTCCCAAGGTGAAAGCAAAGAGTCTACCAAGAGCATCTACGCCTTCGCGTCCGACATCCACAGGTTCGAGGACGGGCAAGGCTCCCGAACGACGAGCCGAAGCGTCTGGTTTTCAGGCACCTCGGACTACGTCCAGGGCCAAGGACAAAGGAGTGAAGACCTTGGAAAAGAAGTCAAGACCATCATCTTCGAGAAGCTCTTCAGCACGATCAAGGACTTCAGCTACTCGTGGGCGTGACAAGTCCATGACATGGAACCGGATGGTTACCAATCAACCACGCGATGCTGATGATCTGGATATGACTCTGGACACTATTCCTGCACGTGGTGATGCGTCATCGGTGACCACGCCAGCCATAGCCGATGGTCCGAATACATATCAGGAACTGACGATTTCGCAACAGCTCGAAGCATCGAACCTTGCGCAGCAGATGTACTATCGCAGTCAGATGCAAGAGTACGAAGGAGTTGTCCAGACCCTGATGGATAAGATCAAGGAGATGCAACAAGAAGATGAAGGATCTGGGATTCGCATTGAGGAATTGGAACGACAACGTGACCATGCATGCTTAGCCATGAGGCACATCAACAATGTCAATCAGGAGATGAAGCGAGACTATGAAGCAGCGTTGTTTCGCATGGATGAACAGAACTCTGCTCAACAACGTCAAGCACACGCCGTTGCCGAGGAGTTGGCTCAGCAGCTACACGTGTTTCGCACGGAAGCGGCTACTAACTTTGTGCAGTTGGAGGCAAGAGCGCAAGGCGATGGTGAGCTTATGGCACGTGAGTATGAGCGTCTGACTCATGAACTTCATGAACATGCCAGAGAGAACTTGTTCCTCCGGTCGAACACAGCAAGTTCGGAACAAGCCTTACAAGCAATGCAGGAACGATTCCACTTGGTCAAGAATCAGGAGTTGCGGGCCGTGAACGAGATCCAAGGGCTAGCTGGGAACAGCGCAGCCATTGATCAAGAACGACTTCGGCTTCGTGAACGTCTTGGTGAAGAGGAAGAGTACCGCAAAATGGCTGTGAGGAGGATGCAAGATGCAGAGGATCGACTTCATCAGAATGAAGATCATGCAAGGCGCTCATTGCCTACCTTGCACGATGAGCTGAGTGAACTCAGGAAAACACTCAAAGCACAAGAAGATCTTCAAGCGAGGACACGCAGCGAATTGGAGGCAGCGCGGAACTCCAACTATGGCGGAGCGACACGGCCTTCGAGCATGCCCATGTCTTCGAGGACTACTGAGTCTGGCTGGGAGCACGTAGGAAAGGAAGTAGTGCCTGCATTTTCCGTAGGAGGTGAGGTACGATCCCCTGAAATACGGTCCCCAAGTCAAGTTAGTCCAGTCGCCAAAGAGAAGTTCGCATTCTCGGAATCGGACAAGGACAAGAACCTTGCGATGGATGGAATTCCATTTACCGGTGGAAACTTCTTCACTGGCCGCAATCAACGCCAATCGTGGCGGATGCAATGCCCGAGCACTACGTGCCAGGTATTAGCAGCCCAGCACTTGCGCGTTCCACGCCTAGTGCAGCCACTCTGTTTGGCATACCAAGCGGATTTCATGGGAAAAGTGATGCGGCAGCCGTGCGTGATCGACAGCTACGTGAACTCTTGGAGGATCGCGGGATGTTGGGATCGAAGTCCACAGCATCTGCCAGCTCCTCAAGACCTGTTGGTATCGACGGCATTATCGCATCTACGAAGGGCAACGACCTCATTGGTCCCCCTGTCGCCTATGACGATTCTATCCATGAGGCAAGGAGGCGTCAGATCGAGAAAGAGGTCGCGGAACAGTATGAAGAGAAGATTGCCGATCTGCGAAGCGAAGTACTCAAGGCCCAGAAAGCCGAACAACGTCTCAGAGCTGATCGTGATGAGTGGAGATTATTCGCTGAAACGATTCAGGAAAACAATGGAGACGATGACGGTGATGAAGCTGGCGACGAGAACGGAGAGGAAGAGCATGATGAAGGAACCGGCACGGGGTATGATCCTCCAGATCCGCCTGATGATGACGATGATGATAAGAAGAAAAGCGGTGGAGGCAAACCTGAATCGGATCCTGGTTCGCATGCGCGTGATCCTGATGGAGACGCGGATCCTGAAGTCACAGAGGTGAGAATTTCCAGGAG